AGTGGCTTGGCTGGCAGGCAAGGGAAGAAACAATAGCCTAGTCAAGGAACCATCAAAGATACTATACCCCCAACCCAGATTGGCAGGGCAAACTACTATATGTAAATAAATCAGCATGTGTGCAAAAAGACAACCAAGCTTAAGGCATATCAAGAACCCAACAGAAATCTAAGATTTAACATAACAATTTCAATGAATATTCAAATTTGAAATGAAAAACGTAAGCAAATCATTGCAGTTGTTATGGGACTCATGTGGTCTCATTGACTTTGCTTGTCGGAAGACGGCTGGACAGATTGCAAAGGGCAATCCCATGCCCTGGGACACTGCAGCTATCTTAAATACATGCCAGTTGCCAAGAGACTGATTTCTGATCTTGTGACCATGGGGGATACTGCAATGATCAGAAGTGTGAGGACCAATCAAAAGTCACTTTTTTTAGCGCCTCTGTAACTGTGAATGATTGCTAAACAAATGGTTATAAGTTGAGGACTGCCTGTATGAACCAGTTGTCTATTGACTTCTAGATCTCTTAAAGTAAACTCTCTAAAGGCCTAGACAGAATTTCTGAATTGATCCTATATATTCATATACAGTACTAATCCCCCCCATTCTTTTTAAAAAGATCTTAAGTAAGAAAATATGCCGATATGTTGTGCTTCTGCTAACTGAAACACCAGCAGATGTTTCATCTGCTAAAGGAGTTTTGTTAAAAAATAGACCTGGAGATATTTTTATGATAAATATAATTATTAAATCCTTTGGCTGGCTAAAGGTGAATTTTAAGAAGATAAGCATTTCATCAATCACTTTGGACTACTTCAGGCTAGTAAACATTTGTTTTATAGAGCATTTAATAAATAAAAAGAAAGTTATTATCACAAAGTGTGGTTCACTGGTTAGATTAAAAGCAAGCACTGAGTGCTTGTTGTTATTTGAAACCTTAACTCTAACTTTTAGTGGAAGAAAAGCATTTATTGCTGTTTCTGGACTAATTCCATTATTTAACAAGTGACTATTCTTGCTACAAATTGTAAAGTAAGTAAAAATAATCTTCTGGAGCAATGTCTTCAAAAGAAGTTTCTTTACCCCTACTGATTTTGTAATATCAGTTAAGAATATGAGAAATGACCTTGTAAAATCAGATGTATTTTTCACAGAACACTCAATGAAGGTATTTTTAAAGAAACCCAACTGTGAAATCTCAATGGTGTTTTGATGTTGGCATTATCTTACACTCTAACATAGCATTCTCTAACTACTTTGCCATGTTTGGAAGACTAACAAAATCATTCATAATTTTCTTAGCAGATTGTGGTAAAGTTGTAGCTGTAATGTATCTTGCTTATAAAAGTTTCGGACAAAATATCCATGACATTTTGTTATGCAAGGTTGTTAAGGGTGAATAGCAGGGCAAACAGATGTACAGCTAACCTGAACATTTTATTGAAAGTGTGTAATCAACAGTTCCTCATCAAATTGACTATCAACTGGGCTGCCACAAAGTCATGGATTTCTGAACATTTTTAATAATGACATAAGTGAGGAAGGAGAGAAAATGCTTTCAGATGCTTCACAATTGACTCATACTTATGACAGCTGCAGTGTCCCGGAATCATGTGTTCACTTATATGACCTTCTGACAAGCAAAGTCAATGGGGAAGCCAGATTCACTTAACAAGCATGTTACAGTGCTGCATTTAACAACAGTAGCAAAAAAATCTGTAAAATGGGAAAACTCACTTTACAGATGTTTCACTTAGCCGCAGAAATTTTGGGCTCAGTTGAGATCGTAAGTTGAGGACTACCTGTATTGGTTGTTTTCCTAGCTTTGTCTGGTTAATTGGGGAAGGAATTAATGGTTGGAAATGATTATTTTTTCTGTGAAACAAACTCAAAATGATGCTCAAGAGAGTTGGTTTCAGCTCAAAACATTTCCAGAAAGATTGGCAATTCCACATGAAGCACTCATTTTGAGTTCAACCTATTTTGTTGTCTATGAAGATTCTCAGTCATTCAGGTCATGGTTATCCCAAAGGTGTTTTTTCAAGTGGAAACTGGAAATGCCACAAACGTCAGAGAACTATAACTCCTTTTATACTGTTAGAAATTGTAAGTTAAAATCTCCCATTCTTGCTTTGGTTTTGTGTATTCTTTATTGCCCTGCTAAAGGGTAAAAGCCTTCCTCCCAGGCAGTTAGTTACATGAAATAAAGATATAATGTATCATTTAGTTACAAATACAAAGGCATAATATATATGTGTGTTACAGGAAACAATTTTTACATATGCAAGTACCAAGGCATAATCTAGTATTCCAGTACATTATATTCTGGTATTACTTAATATATCTTTATTACTATTTCCTATAGGTCGCCACAATGTAAAAAATATGTTGAGACTATTCAGGCTATTCTCCAAATCAATGAAAACAGAGGGATAGAATCAATATCATGTGAAGTGTTAATACCACTATATAAAGCCTTGGTAAGCAACACTTGGAATGCTGCATCCAGTTTTGGTCGCCATGATGTAAAAAAGATGTGGAAACTCTAGAAAGAGCTCAGAGAAGAGCAACAAAGATGATTAGGGGACTGGAGGCTAAAACATATGAAGCAGTTGCAGGAACTGGGTACCATATTTTTCGGAGTATAAGATGCATCTTTTTTCCTCAAAAAAGAGGCTGAAAATCTGGGTGCGTCTTATACACCGAATACAGCATTTTTTGCCTCCCGAAGCACCACCTCTTCACCAAAATGGCCATGCATACCCTTATGGAGGCTTTCACAGAGCTCCTGGGGGCTGGGGAGGGCAGAAATGAGCAAAAAAACAGGCCATTTTTTGTCTCACTTCCAGCCTCCAGCAGCACTCTATAAGCTTCCATAAGGCTATGCATGCAATTTTTTTGACAAAAAACTAGCCTGTTTTCATGATAACTTTTTGCTCGTTT